CCATATTTGGAGTTCTATTTCTCTCATTTTCTCAAATGAATTTCGATTTGTTTATAGCCATGTTTATTACATTTTACTGAAATGTGGCTCAGGTTGCTCCATTCATGACAAATGTTTTACTATTTATAGATGCTCTTTTAGTTTCCCATCTTTTTATAAGGAGGAAAAGCTATACAATTCAATAAAAATAAATAAATAAATAAACACAGTTGGACTCTAAACCACTTGACTGTAGATGTACTCGCCCTCTATTGCCATATCATGTCGGAATAAATACTTCTCTGCATTCACTGTATTGGTTCATAGCTGCTACAGGAAGTAGCAGCCAGCACCCAGGGTTTTCCTCTAACCAATGCAAGATTACAGTTCCATTATTCACTGCACATCCCATAAGCTGACACATATTCACATCTTGGCTCAGTTCCCCCTCTCACTCTGGAAACGTGGTCCAGGGCTGTGATGTTAGCAGCGATGATTCCCCTGCGTCGGATGGTCTTAACAAAGTTAACACCTGCAGCCCCACAGAATCTGAACCGTGTCCAGGCTCAGTGCAGTGAGCTGACAAGACTCAACATAAACCGTGTGTAGGAGTTTCATATCCAAAGAGGCGCTGTGTAATTTATGATTAGAAAACACAAAAAAAAAAAAAAAATGCAAAAAAACAAAGGGTTGAACCTGACATCGAAATGTCTAACCGGTAGGACAGGAATCACCTGTGGGTTCACGGGTGGTCCCCAGGGCTTTGGGAACAATATTTTGAGGCTTGGGTTGGGACAACATGCAAAACCCAACCCTCTGGAGTGTGCTATCTACTGCAACCAAGGGCAAATGCACAAAGAAATCCTCATAAGACAGTGCCATTTCCAGTCCCTCCAAAAAGGTCACACTCAAATCAGGGTTTAATGTCCGTGACACTTTGAGTTGTATATGAATCTAAATGACACAGGGCTGCTGCCTGAGATTAGACTGCAGCTGGAGTTCACGCCCAACCACAGAGATGATGTGTCCTGTATGTAACTGCAGAAACTCAGAGGTCAGCATAAAGTACACACACATGTTTATATGAAATCCCAGTTGATAATTTGTCCAACTGGAGCGGTAACACACGTGTGTGTGTGTGTCTGTGTGAGTGTGTGCAGGTGAGGTGGACGACCTGAGCTCTGATTGCTTTACTGCAGTAGGGCGGCACAGAAGAGGCGAGTGTGAGGCACGCAGTCTGTGGCCTCATTAAATATTTAATTACACATTTAGAGTCTTTGGCCATGTGCTGAATTAGTCATGTCTGATAATGGTGTGCAGAGCAGATGACAGGCCGCTGCAGTATGCAGAGCCCTGCAGGGACAAATGTTTGTCCTCAGGACTGTGGACTAAAAACTCACACTGGTCATTTTGGTCACAGAAAATTACCCAAACTGAGCATTTGGACCGGAGGTGTGAACGTGGTCGCACTTAAAGGAAATATGTTTGTTTGTTGCAAGTTGTGGCCACAAAGTGGAGACACAAAAATCGATGTTAATTTCATTTGTGTGCATCCAAGGCAGAGATTGCTCCAGGATGTGTTCAGCCCCAGTACTAATTTGCACTTTTCCTGGGATTCAGAAATTAATACAACAAAAACAAAACAATAACACTAAAAGCAAGAAAATCCTGTCACTACAAGAAACATGGAGGCAATTACAGCCAATGTTGGTGAAATTACAGCTTTATATTACCTTAAAACAGGAAGAAGTGGAATAGGATATTATGCATTTGCATGTAGGCTTGTGTAAATATTTAAATTTCCGCTGACTAGCCTAATTCATTCATGCCACCCAATAACACATTTCTGGGAAACAGAGTCATCGTTAATTCCTCCTTGTCAGCGCAAGGCATTAGGGGACTGAGTGTTTCGTTTTAAAATGCTCTTTTATTAGTTCAGCTGCTAACACAGCTGCTTTCTCCCGTCCTCATCCCTGTGCTCCTCCTGTGCACTTGGACTCCAGTGGAACATAATTCCAACACAAAAGGCCTCAGAAAAATGCACCCTCAGCCTCCTGTAATTCATGACGAGGCAGCGTGAGACTTTGATTGTGCCAGGGATTTGATTGCTGCACGGTGCAGCAAAGAGAGACAGAGAGGTGATGCTGGCAAGCGCCGTGAGATACACGGTGCTTTATTATCCTGGTATTATCCTGCTCTGGGAGAAAATTACCTAAAATACTGCAGACAATTTTGGAAACGTAATTAGACCCTAACTTGGGTAAGAGTCTTTTGGAAAACATCATCGCCACAACATGAAATACTGACATGTGAAACAGTTCTCCTAGCTGTACAATTAGCAAGTACGCTAGGTGTTCCTGTGGTAAATTTAAAAAAAAAGTTTACATACATGACCTCACTCTATGTATCTATATGTAGAGCTCTTCCTTTCCTGATGACCACTCAAAGGGCTGCACACCACAAGTTTAAACCATTTACCTAGGGGGTGGATTATAACCCAGTAAGCTCAGAGTCAAACCCACAACCCACTGAGTCAACATAAGACAACTGCACTACCACCACCCCATGTAGCCATACTGTACAGTACACACCTGTATGTGTGTGTGTGTGTATGTGTTTAAATGACGTAGAGACAACAGCAGTACAAGAGGGAGGACGTCTCCCTGTTTGTTCTCATGTCGAGGGATGCTTCATAGATCTCTGTGGGCTCCACATCACAAGGGTTCCCCCAGCTGTGTGGCAGAGCCCAGCAGCAATGCTAAACTGGAGGCTCACCTCACGTGTGAGGAGTGTGTGTTTAGTAAAAGAATGGCAGTAGAGTGTGTTAAAGCAAAGATGAAGGCTGACTGTCACTGTTCTGTTTCCAATGTAGTACAGTCACATCAAAGTTGTTTTTTCTTTGTTTGTTTTTTGTTTGTTCATCGCAGTATCTATTGCAGAAATAAGTACAATTTTGTGCCGAATTTGAAATTATATTTTAAGCCAGAAAGAAAAAGAGCAAGTGTGCACTACTGTGTTGTCTGTGAAAGGATAAACTGTAATTAAATCTAAAGAAGTGCAAACCTAACTTTTAATTTTTCCAAAAAAATATACTTTACCTTTTTTGAATCTAGTCGCCATAATAAAGATGTTAAGGCAAAAAAAGGTTTGCCAAAAGATTCCTGGTTATTTGACATTTTTACAAGTGGTTCCATCAGTTCAGCAGTGAACTTTCACCTCCCTCCTTGAAATGTTGTCAGAGGACAATTCATAACAAAATGCATTAAGGCGTTCCACTTGTGCAGCTGATCCTCTGTTTGATGCCATGAAGCCCCGTCTCTAAATGGATGAATGTCACATCCTACAGATATTTTCTCTTTAGTAGATTAAAATTTCACATCATGCTAACGGATTCATAACTGAATTGTAGCAGTGGAGCAGCTAACATCCCAATGACTGCATGTATGACCTCTACAGGCTGAAGGTTGTTTAGCATTTTTGAATTAAGAAAGAATGCAGGTGAATGTTGAACTGTACCTTAAAACTGTCACTAGAGAAGGAAATGCCACTGTTTTAATGTTTCAGATGTAGACACATCTGAAATCACTAAAAATTCAAACTAGAAAAACCTAAAAAAAACTTAAATGAAAAAAGCAAACCTTCATTGAAGTGGTTGAAAATACCCCATATTTGAGCTTAGTTCAAAATGATAAATACAAAATTGAGTACTGCAATTTTTTAGTAAAACTTCTCCTTAACATGCAGTATGTCTGAATACAATGATACAATGTGTTACACCTCAGTGAAAGACTAAGTTCACTGTGACAAAGTACCCATTGGCCCTCTTGTTCAGGGCTGTACACTGTGGAGCTGTCCACTGTGGAGCTGTCCACTGTGGAGCTGTCCACTGTGGAGCTGTCCACTGTGGAGCTGTCTGTGGAGCTCACTGTGGAGCTGTCCACTGTGGAGCTGTCCACTGTGGAGCTGTCCATGGTGCTGATCTCCAGATACTGGGGTCAAGCTGAGAAACTCCCAACATTTTGCACTTCTTATTAGTGACATTACTCTACTTAGAGTGATGTTGTAGCTCTACTGTCATACCCAGCAAACATTGAACCACACCCTACACCTGGAGGCCATTTTATTTTAACCAAGGCATTCTTATTTAAAGTTTTCACTTGGACTCAACAGTGTCAAAAAGGAAGAAGCCGCAACCATTTGCTATCTTAGTTTTGTCAATCACTGTTTTTGAAGGTATTAAGACATGTTTAATTTAAACTCCTGACAGTAATCTATTCAGAGTCTGTCTTATTACCGCCATTTTAAAATAAGCTGCCCATATACTGTCTATGGACTGTCCCCCAGGTTATTATACTACAGATGGTGCTCACTTAGTAGTCAATGGCAACGCTCCACGTCAAGTGGAGGATTTTACATCTATGTTTACTGATAATCAACAACAACAACTTGTCTGAAAAACGCACATATATTAAAGAATATATTGCAACATCTACATGACACTGTTTGACTCAGGTTTGACTCCAGAAGAGGGGGCTGATGGGTGGATTTCTACGGAGAGGAAACCCCTCAGCTTTTATGGGCGGAAATAGACAAAGGAAATGAGACAGTTATTTTCTTCAAAATAAAAGCACAACCATCGGAGAGTCTATGTGCTTTTTCAGTGACTGTTACTGCTCATAGCCACTGCATCTGTGACAGGAGAATCCCACGCAATCTTACAGAAATAATTATAACCAGCACAAATAAAAACCAAGAATAAAAAACAAAATGTGAAAACATAAAACATAACTAACTCTAAGGCTAAAATACGTTTGTTCCAGGTGTTTTTATTTGTTTGTAGAAAATTATAAAATTATTTAATATTATAATTATTATTATTTTATTCATTGACCAAAATAAATTATCCAGTTCTCGCAACCTGTGCTTTTTATTTTGAAAGTTGTGGCTGGAAGTCATTTTGCTACAGTTTTACCCACTTGATGGCAGCACAAGCCCCGGTTTTCCAAATAAGGAATCTGGCTGTTGCTTTGCGCGGACACACAGACAGACAGGGACGCACCAGAGCCGTGAGCTGAGGACGTCTCCACCACAGAGGAGCGCAGAGCACAGCAGCTCCACTTTCATTTGTCTCTCACTGAAACCTTTACATTTACCTGAAGGACTGTGGAGCCCGGAGACCGAGAGGATTTATTATCGGCAGAATAACTTTCCTCCCCAAATATTCACTGGAGTAACGATAATAATAATAATTTAAAAAAACAAAACAGTTTTGAGGGGATTAAAGAAGAAAAGAAGATGTAATTTGGGACCAGTTAACCAAAGACAAACAGGGGTCTGTGAACACAAACGGAATTTTCTGAACCTTAGCCCAACATTTGGAACTAGAGGACATTTCCAACTCCTTTTGAAGAGTTTCCACTTCTTTTTGAAGACATCTGTTTTTCCTCAGTCCACGTGCATTTTTTACTTCCATGAAGAATGTCTGTGGCGGACTTAACCTAGGCCTGATCCTTGGCTTTTGGAATTGGTGAATGCTTCTAGAGCGCATTGAGATCTTACCTCAGAATGCATCAAAGCCATTAAACTCAAGGTAATACTCACTCTGTGGTTCGTTTGAATCCCCACCCTTCACTCATTCACCAACACTGTCGTCGTTAGGATTTTGGTCTTAATTTAAACTATCATCAGTCATTCATCACATCCTCGACTTTTGGCGACGCGTCTGTGGATTTGGCGAGGTTTTGGATGATTAGTGTCACAACTGGCCCCGGGAGCTGATCTAGGACTATTTATTCATAAAAATCTGTATTCCGGCTGATATTTCCACCCTCTGATAAAATGCTCCGCTGCATATGTGGATGCAATTTCAAGCACCTCTCTTTCACACAGACACCCAGGCGCACAGCACTCGGGGAGACGCGCCGCCGCTGGTGGACAGTCAAACGTCTGGAGCAGGGACTGACTCAGCCCGTGGTGATGCGCGAGGCGTTGGGGAATAACAGTGTCTCCAAACTTCGTTCAATAAGCCTGTAATCCAGCACTCCTTTGCGTTCGCTCAGGGTTTCATATCCAGCAGAAGGTTATGTGAGAGCCTTTGGGGAATGAGTAAGCGCAACCCTTCCCATCGGGAACCATAAACGCTAGAATGATTTCCAGTTAAAACTGCTTTTTCAAACATTGTATATATATTTTTACTTCTTTTTCACCAGCTCATCTTTTGCTGATGTCGTTAGGTCTAAACGCTGCAGTTATTCAGCCTGGTGCTGAACTCCTAAAATTACCTTTGTCTGGAAGCATGTGTTTGTTTTGGTAAAGTTTGAAAGATTTTCAACCTGAAATAGGGTGTAGTTATTTTTAAATATACACGAACGCAATAGTTCGTTTTTGTCGATACATTCTTGTAATCCCATTTATTATGCTTTTCCAAAATTTAATAAAGGCAAGATATTTTCAGTACGGTAAGACTGTGCACAGGTTATATGGTAGAATCATTGCTTTTCATGTCAGGTCAAGTGTAACCTGTGTAGAAAAGCAGGTTTAAACCAGCCATAGTCTTTCCAGGTGGACAGACAGGTTGCCGCTGTGATGCTGGTGTCGTGCGTTCACTCTGACCAGCCTTGATCTTCCCACAGTCATCCACAGCCAACCAGTTTACCACAAAATGGGCTGCTGTCGTCCCCTGTCTCTGGGGAACCTCCCTCAGCTCCTCTTTGTGCTGCAGTGAGACTCAGTCATGTCCAGTGCGATGCATCCTGCGTGTGTAACAGAGAGGGATCCACACACACAGGTTTCTTTCCTCTTCGCATCACAAAGAAAAAACAAACCATAAAACAAACCACTCAGTTTGACGTTGAGTTTCTTATTTCACTGTAGAGTTTATAGAAAGTTGTGGTCTCGGTTTTTTCTTTTCTTTTTTCTTTTCTTTTTTGTGTGTAATTATTGAGACCAACCCTGCGCATGTTTTCAAGTTCCCAAATCAAACTAGTGGGGGCACTATAAAAACACACAAACTCCATCCTTTCAATAAGACAGGTGGATCCAGATAGAAGTCATTCCAAGTTGGATTTAGACATTATTATTATTATTATTATTATTATTAATAATAATTTATTTTTAACAGAGTCATTTAAAAAAAAAGATGCACAATGGTTTGAAGTCACTGAAGTCATATTGTTTTGTTATGTATGCTGTATACCGTGTCTAATAGACAGTAGTTCTTTTAAATTTAGTTAACTGCCAACCTGGTGACCTTTCACTTCAGCCACTGCCTCTGCCAGCCTTGTAACAACACATAGAAAAAATATAATTTCACTAATTTATGAGATTTTCACACCGTGTCATGAACCTCACGTCAACAACCTGCAGCTTAATCTCATTTTTTAAAACCGAAAAAAAAAGGAACACTATTTTTTTCACTGCAAAAAAGTAAAAATAAAGTTTTTCACACTCTACAAGTGACATACACATGGTTTTACTGCCAGGCTCAGTGTTTAAAACAGTCAGTGTTGAGTACATAAAAGAAATAGACTCAATAGACATGACACAATTCCCCCTGACAGGCATGATGGCTGGTTGACAGGATGAGACAAGCCAGCTACACAAGACTGGCCTTTTTGAAGGCATTCATGCATGTTTGTCCCCTTTTCTCTCGACCTAGATGCCCCCTCTGTGGGTTCTGCTGCTTGGGAAAATACCAAAACTATTGACTCCTTCTCCTTCTTCCTTCCATCCCTCCCCTCTTCTAATCACTTCCCTCCAAAACAAAGGCGCGTAGTGTCTGAGGCTGTCTGCAAAAATAAACCCGCATTTGGATTTGTGACATCACAGCAGACATGTGGTGATGGAGGGTGGGGACAGGGGTGGTCACTGAGAGAGAGAGATGAATAGATGGTTGATTAGGGGACAGTCAGTGAGATGGAAGATAGATTGAGAGCGGGATAAAGATTGACTGGAGACAAGAGGCTGTGTGATGCAGGCAGACGAGGCATCTCTGTTGCCTCAATCAGTCTGTCAGTTAGAGCTGGATAGTTATACACGCACGGCCATTGAAGCCTAGACACTCGAAAAGGTGAACATGCCACTATTCCATGTCCTGAAACCTCCCTAATGGCTTTTCAGCTATGTGTGTGTGTGTGTGTATGTGTGTGTGTGTGTGTGTGGAGGGGGGTCTTTGCTGAAAGGAAGTTGGAGGTTGACCAGAATCTACAGAACCATTGGCTCCACTAATTAGAGCCTAAACGAGGAGCTTGGGAAAGGCTGCTTAATGAGGCTTGTCCAGTTAGACAGGAACTTGGGCTGACAACCATGTAACTCTTACACAGCTTTACTACAACAAGCCACAATGGCCACATTCAACATCAGCCCTGAAGCTCGATGCCAAGTCCGGAGTTATCATTGGATTGACAGGATTAACACATGATGCAATAGAAGTCAATACAGGACATGGAGAACCAATGGGAGAATGTTGGTCCTATTATTAATATTAGTTTAATGCAAGGGTAGATGAAGCGATGAGGTTTGTAAAATGGGAATTTTAGTCATATCTTTGGCAGACCTACAATAGACAATGACTGAAGACAAATAAAAAAAATAAAAAAAGATTTATTGCATTTCAATGCAAGTGTCAATAAAAACTCACATTTCACACAGCTCCTTATCGTGACCTCCCTACTATCACTATGAGCACAGACTCGCTCATATATCACACATGACCCGGGGCATTTCTCCATCTTTTAAATGCTCCATCACCTATTGACATATTTAATTGTTTCCATTTTCTATTCTTTGTCTAGTTTATTGACTCTTTTTATCTCATACAGTTGCCTTGAACATACACTCCAATTGACATCATACAGCTGCTTTGTAAAGCATTGATTACTCTTTCTGTAGTCCCATCTTAATGATGAAAGACGCAAATCACATTAAGGCGACAACCTGAGCCTGTTTTCCTGTTTATTAGTTGTTTTGGTTAAAAAAAAAAAGATTTTTAATCATCATCGTTATCCAGTGCTCACAGAAATGGCATTGAAAGAAAAAATCTCACCTGCTTTTATTTTCTACTTTTGATCAACAGCACTTCCACTTTACATGTGAAAATTGCAACCCCAGGGAGTACCATCAAGTTTTTAAGCCAAATCTGTCCAACCCATTTGCTGTTAGTTCTGACATTTTTAGGTTTTTGTCGTAGTGAATGATCAACGATTAACTACAGCTTTGAATAATCAATAACTGCTGTTGCACAATCTAGCTCCTTTGTAATTATACCAACATTAAGAATGCTCTGTGCTGCACTTTTGTCATGTTGTCAACTGTACCTGTCTCCCATTGGGCGTCCACAGTCCCACCATTGTAAAGGCTGGCTAATGCATCAGCCTTTGTTCAAACGGTGGTTCAGTTCTTGCTAAAGTAAAAAGAGTATAAAAGCTTTTGGTTCTTAGAGGTTCATCAACAAGGAGTTTGGGTCAAGAAGGAAAGTCGTCTACACAGGACGTATCAGTTAATAATTCTGAATCGGTTAGTCCATTAGCCAGTGTTCAGCTCTGCAATACTCAGTGCCAGTCTTAAGACTGGTTCCCAGACAAAAGGCACTGAATCATGCATCTCCTCCCCTGGCTGTAGAGCTTAGCAACAGGAATGATTAGGTGATCACACATTTTCCTCCTCACTCCTGACTTCATAAAATAATCTCTCATTCTCATTCATGACTGAACATAGAAATAAATCCAGGTAAAATAATAACTGTGTCAGAAGAAAGTGTTTCTCATACCTGACGATGAGTTGCACTGACATGTTTTTGTCCACTAGGTCCATAGACTCGATCTGTCTATGGATTAATATATTTTTTTTTTCAACATTGTCTCTGATTTGTAACTTCATAGACCATCTTTTTTAGTTTGGTCCATTTTGCCCATTTATTGTGACAGCTTCAGTGCCTTCAATTCTGCCACCTCCAGCTCAGCCTGCTGTCTCACAGCCCGTGACAATGTCTCGAACAATGCATTACAGCAGGTCTCAGTACTGTCTTGTAAACCTTCCCTTTCACTCTAGCTGCTATCATTCTGTCACACAACCACCCACTCCACTTCAGGTTACTACAGAGTCTTGGATGGAATGGGAAAAAAATAGCAAACTACCAAAGTCACCACCTTTTATGTGAACTTGTTTTTGATTATTTTTCTCATGAAAAGAAGATGAAAACAGTCTCTCAAAAGGTAGCTGAAGTCATTTAAAAAAATATACAATTCTTGGAGTTCCACCATAAGGTGAGCCACAGAGAGCTCTACATGAGTCTGTGTCATTTGGGATGTTTAAATTTGAAAACAATATTACTTCAAAGCCTCTGTGATTGATACACAGCTGTTGGACTAAAGTCCCCTTTTGTGCAGAGCTGCGTTCAGTGGCTGGCATTTAATTATGAGGCCATTCTGCAGTTGTCTATTTGAAATGTCTGTGCTTTTAGTATCTGGGCAACAGTGTGGTTTTAAGGTCATGGCACTTTGTTGTCCATTTGAACTAAGGCTTGGCAGCACTTGTGTGCTGATTACTGTAACTGTTTTATAAAGAAATCCCTTTTATGTGTCAAATAAAGTG